AAAAAAAAAAAAACTGCCCTTTTGCTCATCACAACTGGACAAGGCCAGAAGAGAGAGATTTCCTCACATGCTGGGCCCTTTTCACATAGTTTCCCAAACCCACTTCTGTCCTCTCTTAGGAGCCTTAACTTTAACATGGCTTCTTTTTGTTTAAAGGCTTCCTTCCAGCCATTTTACACTCTATCCTCTGGGGGAAAAAAATCTTAAGCGCAGTTATTGGAAATTACTAGAAGCAATACCCCTCTACTCATTAAAATTTACTTAGTGCAAAAAACCAGATCTTAAAATATATTTATGTAATCATTTTTTAATGATGTTAGAAATTCTATGTTTAAAAAGTATGAGAAGAAACAGGAAATGTATTTGCACAAGTGCTGCTTACATAAATGACAATGATGGGAATGCATTTGCTTTAATTTGCTGGCAGCAACATAAAGATATGTGTATACTTTTAAACTTAATGCAGGTAGGTGTCAGGTGAAGCATTCTTTAAAGACTGGGATTTGGAAATAGAATTAATAAGACAGATAAACTGGGTGCAGAATGTCTCATTGAAGGGCTAATGTGAGGATCCCTTAATTTAAATAGAAGCTCTCAGTTCAATTAAAGCAATGTGATTTAAGGAAAATGTAAGAAAGCACATATTCACTGCATGAAGAACGTATACCTAACAAAGTATTTTAGTCCCCTAGTAATTCATAAGAAGGTTTGAGACAGTATTCTCATAGGTATAGTTTTGAGATGTTCATTACTTCAGCTAATAGCAAAGTGCCAGGTGTTCATGATGATATTATCTCACTTGAGAAAAGCCTTTATCCTAGTTGACTAATAAGGACTTCTGCTTCCAGATAATTCTAAATCATAAGGTAAGCATTCCCAGAACCATTTAATAATACATTTACTCATCTAAATGTTTATACCTTCATTCTCAAGTAATCACACCTGTATATACACTTAATCCTTTGTAAAGACTGACCTAGGAACTATAGGTTCTGATGTTCCATTACCCACAAGTAAGGGCCTCTGCATAACATAAGTCACTTTCCAAGACCGTGTATGTAAGAAAAGCCTACTTGAATGTACTCAAGAATTCTTGGATGCCAGGTGCCCCTAACCTTTCCTTAAAACATACCACCACCTTTTTCTGAGCGTTTTCAAGTCCATTTTGGCTTAAATAGCTCATTAATAATACACAAATGCATTTAAATTCTGAAATTCAAGCAAAGGAACCAGAGATGATAAATAACAATATTAACAAAGTAGGAAATCACTAGAGAAACCAAAAGTCTTAGCTCCCCAAGGCCTTTTTGATTAGAGCTGTAAATCACATCACCCAAAGGGGAACTTGGGGAGGTTTGCACACAATCAGGTCTAACTAAGCTGTGGCAATGGAAATGACTACAGATGCGGTGCCAACAATACTTGGATGATTGCCACCATGAGTAACATTTGTCAAGCATTTGTATGACTAAGCTACACTACAAAGCAGCCTTGCTATACAGTTCACAACATTTCGGTTAATTATACTTCTATAAATAATCTACAGTCAAACAAAGGCAGCGGAAAGCTCAATTCATTTGGGGAAGACACTGGTGCACTAGCATGATGCAAATGGCCCGGGACCACCTCCCAATGTTAAAAAAAAACCCCAATCGGTACATGTGAAGACTGCAAAGGGGCTCCCATCAAAATGGAAAGTGACCTTCTTAACTTCACTTTGAACATTCTCTAGTTGTGTTACTTTGAAATCGTCCCTTCTCTCTAAATCCCCCTCCCAAATATCTGTCTTCTGTGGGGCAACAATTAAATAATCCCTGATCCGGCTCCTCTCGGAGGAATGCAAATCTGTCTATTATATTGTATACTTTCTGGAAACAGATCAAGGGAACCAGAAGAAAATGTGCTGCATTCAAACCTTTAGCCTAAATGGGTAGTCCCGCAGCGCTACAACTTTCAAAGCTGACACTGACAGTTAGCTCTACAAACACTGGAGAACTCACTGGTGCCAAACAGGATGTCCCCGCTAGGAAGTTCATTGACTAAAAATGTTATGTGGTGTCACACCATGCAACCATGTGCCAAGATTCTTGGGCTGAGATTAACCACGGAGAGACAACATGGGAAATGTGGTAAGTCCATCCTCATGAAACCAGAGCTCAGCAGGAGCATAGCATTTAACACTTCCATTTACAAGCCTTTGGGGAGGAAGACTGGGATCATTAATAAAAGTCTCCGTGTTGTAACTCAGGCCTACAATGAAAATCATAGGAATCATAAAATCAAAGGAATCATAACTGAGGCAAAGACAGGGAGCAAAGTTCACCACCTAAGGCTTATCTGGAATTCTAAACAATCTAGCTTACTATTTTATGATGAGACTGAATCAAAGGTAGAGCCCTCACCCACACTGCTGTATCTGCCTGGCAACACCCACTGCAGTGACACAGAAAGGAAGGAAGCCAGGGAGGCAAAGAACAAAGAAGAAGTGGAAGGGAAAATACAGCACGAGCATGCTCCTTGAGTAGGCTAAGGACTTGAAAGTTTATTTCTTGGTTTATTTCTTTTTGCCCATATTATCATCTGGGTGAACACACTTCAAAACATTTTCACAATTCTGGGGACCTCCAATACTTGACCAAGAAAAAAAGAAAGAAAGACAGGGGCACCTGGGTGGCTCGGTCAGTTAAACGTCTGACTCTTGGTATCGGCTCAAGTCATGATCTCATGGTTTGTGGGATGGAGCCCCCCATCAGGGTCTCTATTGATAGCACAGGGCCCGCTTGGGATTCTCTCTCCCTCTGGCTCGCTCTCTGCCCCTCCCCCATTCACATGCACGTGCTCTCTCTCTCTCAACAATAAAAAAATAAACTTTTTTTTAAAAAAAGAAAGAAAGAAAGATCTCATTAACAAAAAACTTCCCCCTAAAGCTTCATAAATGTACAAAAATTTTAATTTCACAGACAGGCCATTCAATTTCTGGCACTCCCACCATTGATGTTAGTCTACAATAATAATCTCTAACATTTACAACATGCTAGGGATTTCAAGTACATCATCACATTCAGTCATCAAGACAACTCTATGTGGTAGGTATAAGATTTCCACAGCAACCCTGCCAAGTTGCAAGATCACACAACTAGCCTGTGATGGAGCAAGGTGTTAAAGCCTGAACCCCATCTTTAGCTTATATCCATCCTTAACCCTATACTTGGCACATTACGAAAAGTGCTTTCTGTACAACAACACAGAGCTCAAGTTCTTCTACCTTAGATCACAAGTCCTTGCTATTTTTAAAGGTGATTTTTAAAATGAATCACCATACTAGCTTAGCAGGCTACAATTGTTCTCTAAGCACCAGTCGGGATACATGTCACAGGTGGAATGAAGATGAAGGGACAGGAGAGGCAGTGGTTAAAGGGAAGAACTAGTCTAATCTTCTGTTACAATTACACACAGAGAACTAACTCAAAGGCTGGCTCTCACAGAAAACAGGACCTAGAGCAAGCTACAAAGGATCCAAGTGAAGCAAGTTCGAATTTAAATCAAAGAAAGGTAATGCCTTTTCTTGATTTTTAGGGCAACTAGCTCACCCTTGTGGACAGAAAACTTAACTACACAACCACCAATTTCCACCTGCACCACCTTATCAAAACACTGCACCAAATTTGGGGAAACTGATTGAGACCAGCAGATAGCCTTGATGATTTCAGAGTGAGCAGACATTTTAAGCAGACCTACGTGGCATATACAATTACCTATCTCAACTGTGTTAGCAATCCTCTACCTGAAAATGTGTCAATATAATGTGGGAGGTCTCTGAAAGATTCTTAAACTCAAATCAAATATAAAACCAAGGATTTGTTGAAAAGAATGTAACAAGAGGGGCGCCTGGGTGGCGCAGTCGGTTAAGCGTCCGACTTCAGCCAGGTCACGATCTCGCAGTCCGTGAGTTCGAGCCCCGCGTCAGGCTCTGGGCTGATGGCTCGGAGCCTGGAGCCTGTTTCCGATTCTGTGTCTCCCTCTCTCTCTGCCCCTCCCCCGTTCATGCTCTGTCTCTCTCTGTCCCAAAAATAAATAAAAACGTTGGAAAAAAAAAAATTAAAAAAAAAAAATAAAAAAAAAGAAAAGAATGTAACAAGAGCCATTATTTATAAATGAGTTTCTCTACTGCAGTAGTCAATTATAAAAGATTAGAGCAGCAATTTTTCCATCTGGTAGAAATCACCTAAACTCTAACAAAACCGAACTACAAAAATACTTTGTACAGTATTTATCTCTTCCATAAATATTTACCAAGAACTTAGTATACAACAGGCACTCTGCTAGACAACAGAAATATAGCAAACAACAGACGACCGCATTACTATGCAGAGAATCAAAGTACTGTTAGGCAATAGACTTGCAGCTATTTCAGACTGAGTGGCCAAAGAAGGTACTGCAAAAAAACTGTAAACAACCCAAACATCCCATCAGTAATAAATAGGCCAAATATCCATTGATCATGATAAAAATATACAACAGAATGCCAGGCAGCTATTAAAAGCTCAGGAAGAACCCTACGTGCCCGACATGGAAGAGGTACAACATGTGCTACACACTGGAGAAAGTCAAGAAAGAACAGAGTGCGTGTGAATCTGTTTATAAATTTCTTACAGCTAATACTCAGATGTTGGTATATGCACTGAAAAAACCCTAAAACTGTTAAGAGTGATTACTGTTTTTTAATACAGAAATAAAAGCCAAATCAGTATACCGCAAAACATGGGCCTTCTACTCTTGATCTATCTGAAACTGTTATAATTCTAACACACAGATGTAATATCATGAAAAACTTGGAGAGGACATATCCAATTCAATCAACAGACAAAGGGAATGAAAACTAGGTCTTTTCCCACCATTGCTAATACTCAAATGCCCTTACTACAGTGGAATGTTCAGATCTTTTAAGCAGATTATTCAACTATTACAGATGTCCTGTGTGTTCATGTCCCTAAATTTACTTAAAAAATAAAAATTTTTAAAAGGATCCCAATGATTCAACTATACTTCAAAAGACTGTTCCAAGACCAGTCTAATCATCGAGTAGCATTTTCCAGTCTGGGGTGAAGACTCCATTTCCAAAATTAGCAAACCAAAAGAATATCTTCCCTCCATGAAAGAATTACAACTGTGTGCTTAGTAACAGGGAAGACGGGAAACAAATGAGCCTAATTTTGAGTTGCTTACCTAATGCAGCATGATTTTCTTGTTCCTGACTCTTTCCCAAAGAGGCCATCATTTTTGAATATATGTCAGTCCACCAAGGATTATACTTCAAAATCTGTTCAACAGCCTCATCTTCAAAAAAGTCAGCTCTGGAAAGAAAACAGTCAACGAGCTTGTTACATAGAATTGAGCTGAGTTTCATTTTTCTTTTAATTTTATCTTAACTCCTTACGTTTGGTATTAGAAACAGAGATTGTTAATTCAAAGTACAGATCAAGGAAATGAGCACTGTGTTCACTTTCTGAGTGGTCACTAATCACCATAAAACGAAAGCTGGGGTCAGACTAAAGGGATATGTGACATTTCTGCTCTCCTCAGAAACAAAGTGGAGAAAGCACCAGTCCTTCCCTTGAAGGCCTACCCCCGTACTGCACTGGCATGGGATGAGGCAAATCTGAACACAAAATGGACTGAAGCACTGAACTTGGGCTAGGTTTTTAAGTACCACCTGTTCTGGTAAGGTTACAATAAAGGAAAGAATCTTTTAATTCTACCAAAGGAAAAAAAAAATAATCAACAGGAAATACGAGATACTGCACACCCACCCACCCCCACACACACACCATTTATTAGCATGCACCCTCATACTTTCTACCAAGATGCAATTTCTCTTACTTAGCTCTGCTAGTCCTAATAGTCCCTTGGCTTAAAACTATTGGAAAAGAACAAAGCAACGTTTGTAAAGGAGAGAAAATTAATTTGCGTGTACTTCACTTTCTGGGTTTTAACTTGCAAAATAACTGCTACCTTCAAAATAGGTTCCTGGAGGACATTTATTCAGAAATTCTACCACCTTGCATTCAAGGCTGAAAACTGGTATTCGTGGGAACAGAACAACAAAAAAGTAGAACTCATGGTGAAAAATTCATTTATATGTCAGTTAATTAGAAACTCAAGGAATTGGTTGTTTTCACAGGTTGATTTTCTAGCTGATAGTTTTATGACCTGAAATATTTTTTCTTTCAACTGAGATAATGAAATCTTTCTAAAATTAGAAACTCAGATAACTGAGTTATTAACTGAGTTAATTTCTGATTAGAAAATCAGATAACTTACTGAATTCTTCATACATGCCAAGCACTGCACTAAATACTTTTCACCCATCACTTTCTTAAATCTTCACACCATCCCCACAGGCAGGGGGTACTACTAATACTCCCATTTTACATGGGTGGAAACTGAGGGTCAGAAAAGTTGTATATCGTGGCCAAGGTCAAAGAACCAGGAAGAAGTGTGGCCAGGATCTGGACCCAATTAAGTCTTACTCCAGAATCCAAGCCATTAACCAATATAAACATTCCATTTTTATGCTTGAGGAAATAAAAGTACATATGGGACAAAACCGAATAGCAATGATCTTGAAATAGTAATTCTCAATTATCAATTTTTGTCAGGTACATGACAGATATTTCAAAAAGATAAGTACTACAAGTAAACAGCTAAAATGCTTTAATAAAAGTCAACAGGAAGTAGTGACTCTACCCTGTGCCAACAGTAGTACTGACTCCATTTTGGGCACTGGGGTTACACGGCTGACAAGAACATGCAGTCAGGGTCCTTACGGAACTTACAGTGTCATAGGAGGGCCCAGCAGTCACAATATAAGTGCTATGTAACTACTATGACCTAACAGTACGAGCATCTATGGCAAAGTCAAACTGGGATGACAGGGAAGGTCCCTGAAGGGAAGACTATCTAAGCCAATAGCTGAATGACAATAAACAGTTAACTAGACTAAGACAGATAGGAGAGAGTATTCTGGCTACAAGAATAGGTAGCAAAGGCCAGGAAACAAGAAGGCACGTTTAAGGGGGCAAAGGGGAGTTGAGGATAGCTGAAAACAATACGCTGTAGTGACAACAACACTGTAAGCCATGTCCAAAAAATCTAGTGGATTTTTGTCACTAAAAACGACTAGACACTTAAAACCTTTTACATATGGGTCTCATATCAGTGTGCTTTGGCCCACTGCTCTCACTGGTCTGGAACACGGTCTAGGAGCAAGCCCCGGAGCACAGAAATCATGGAGGCCTGGAAGGGGGTAGTAGCAACGGACGTGGAGCAAAGTGGATCTGAGCTACAGTCAGAGGCTAGAATCCTTAGGATGTAGACATAAAGGGGGCCAGGAGTCTAGGTCTATATCCAGCATTCCAGCTGAGACAGTTCAGTGGACAACAGTGCCCTCTGACGAGACAGGAACACAGGGACACTAAACAGAATAGCTGGAGACTTCCGCTTAGAACAGGCTGAGTTTGAGACATCCTTGCAGGACATACAGAGACTGGCGCAACAGGCAGTTAGCCACACAGATCTGATGCTCAGGAGAGACACATGGAATCGTGAGCATTTAGACAGTGACGGAGGCCAAGGGAGAACAGACAATCACCCAGAGAGAACTTGGGAGAATGAGAAAAAAGGACTCCACATACTGGAGGGCTGACGACACAAGTCAAGAGTTGAAGAGCCCATCTAAAATGATTCTGGGTCTCCCTAGAAGAAGTGATGGGAAAAAAAAACAAAACAAGACCTTGTAAAATCTACCACTTCCACGCCCTCCCTCTAAAAATTTCAAAATGTTTAAATGACTCTTCTGAGTAAAATCTCACTAATATAGTCCCAATAGTTGAAAATGTGATGGCTTATCCTTTACACTGTCCATGGTTCAAGAGTTTTGTGAACAAGATCTGAAGTTGACTAATGTTCTACTTTCCAAAATGAATTTATTTTCAAGTTTCTAAATGTCATTCACTCAATGAGCATTTACCGAGTGCCCCATGAAAATGCAGCATCAGGGAGATGAGGATCAGTAAGACACTCCTGACCCTTCAGGGCTCCACAATGAAATGGGAATGGATACAAAGAGAGAATATGGTAACATCAAGATGATCTGTCACTTGGAAGCCCTGAGGAGGGCTTCCTCTGCCAGTCTGAGAGGGGGTGTGCCAAGGGTGACAGTGGAGCCCAGTCTTAAAAGATAAAAGTTATCCAAGCTAGGTGGAGCAAGGGAGAAAACAGCTGTCACAGGAGCATCATGAATACAAAGTGTGCAAGAAGTGGCGTGGTACAGGCAGAGAAATAACTAAAATTCATTACTGCTGCAGCGTATAGGGTAGACGGACAGGCAAAAGAGAAGCTCCAGACGTAAGCACAGTCCAGGTCACAGAGAACTTTCTACACCGTGCTAAGGAGGTAGAAGTTTATATACTTTAATTGATGGAGAACCCAGTGAAGATTTAAAGCAGATGTTCACTTTCAGTACTTAAGACATGATACTGGTGGTTTTATGGTTGATGGATTTGCAGGAGTCCAGGCTGGAGGTGGATACACCAAATACGAAGTCATGAGACTGCTGCACTAAGCCAAACATACAGGAGGACCAGAAAGAGATTGAGTGAAGGAAACAGCAAAGAGATAAATGGTACCACTTCTGGATGGATTAGAAGTGTGGAGAAAGAAAGGAGTCGAAGATAAATCCCGGGTTTCTACCCTGAGTGACTGGAGTGAAAAATGGTACACTCCACCGAACAGAAAATGCAGGAAGACTTTCCAGGTAAAAATGATGAGTTCAATTTTGGACACTCAGCAGAGGAGGTCAGCAAATACCCAGTCGCTCTCCAAACCCTTAACAACGTGACTTTTCTCCAGAGCACTTACCACAATCCAAATCTTGTCTCCTTCCCCACTAGAAAGTAAGCCCCATGAATGCAGTGACCTTGTGGTATTCACACAAATCCTCAGTATGTGTGACTCTGCCTGGCATGCAGTTCATTCAAACTGGGATTTGTTGAACAAATTAGTGCATATGTGAAAGAAGAAATCGATGAGATTTTCCTCTAATGCTTTTTCCTAAGCTTGCCATTTTGAATAAAGAGCCATGTTGGAAGCAAGTGATCTTCTTCCCAGCCTCATCATTAGTACTCAGAGCCTTGACATTCCTCAATTAATCCAAAAGCCAGATGAGTGTATCAAACTCTTAAACAAATTTACAGCACTGAAAAGTTACAATTTAAAATGGCACCCCAAATGCTAGGGATCATTTTTGTACCTCTTCTCATCTCACAGATATTTAGAATGCTAACTCAATTCTTGTATTTTTCTCCCAAAGAAGGACATAGGCAGATTTATGAATTGGTTCAGGTAAAAGATATGCTGACAATTAAAAAAAACAATATGCCTAGGGAAGGAAAGAAAAACCACTCTTGGCAAGAGAAATATGAAAACTTGACGATGATAGGCAAAACAGGAAGGCCTATTAAAGAATGTTTCCAGATACCTTCAACAAACTGTAGTGTAAAAATAATGCCCAAAAGGAGTTACAAACAGCAAAAAATAGACAATCAAAAACAATGCATGTTTATGGATCATCTGTTATATGCCCAGTATTCTGCTGGGCTGCAAAACACACAGCAAGGAGTAACATCACAGAATGGCCTCTAGATTTTACAACACAAGACCTAAAAAATAATTATTATCCTAAGTCATTTATATGTGCCTTTGAAAGGTATGAATTTTTCTATATACTGAATTTACCTCACTGTGTTCTGCCTTAGGATAGAATTAAAATTAGTTTTCCTTAAGCCTGTAAAATATCAGACACCGTGACGAGACATCACGACCAGTAAGAAGTCACACAACTTGAAAGTCTCATATACTTCACAATGACATATATTATGTATTACACATGTACATTACATTCACGTACATAAATGTCTAACATGACACACGCAATGTATTGTCTGCATGGTAGGTAAAAATTGAAGCAAACCTTTTCCTCCACTGTATTAACCATTAGGAACAATTTAAAAAGCACGGAGCTAAAAAAAAATTTTTTTAATTGAAAATTTAAAAGAATTTTACTTGGACTTCTGTAGTATTAACACATCTGGGTGAGTCAGTCAGCCAATATAAATAATGGGTAAGAAGTAACACAAAAACTACAATTAGCCAAAGTCTTACTGGAGAAGTCACAAAGAACCTTTACCGCAGAGCTCCCACTCTCCGACCTGCCCATGACTAAATTTAAACCACTCGTGTAAGAACTCTTCTCTAAATAATGGAAAGAATAGCTCATGCATACTATTAAAGAAAATGAGCTTCTGGATAAAGAAACACAGAAGATGGAGAAAAATAAGGGCTGCATATAATATCACACTGCTAACTATAAATTCCAATTTCCTAATTCTCTCAGGCCATGTCGTTATTCTTCCAGTTTTAGAAGAGAAGAGATAGGCAGTTCTTCTAATTAAGCTCCCTCCCACTTGAAATTTTACTCTTGTAAAGCTCATTCTGTTTTCATGCTGGCCCGAGAAATTTGCTGACAATGAAATTTCCCACTTTAAATATTCAGCATGATTTTAAATAGGTTTCTTCAAATTACTCTTCAGTGGACCTTTAAAGCCACAATTGGAGAGATAAAGGTAATTAGAAATGGCAATATAAATGGAGCTGAATCTCTCAGATGTCCTCCAAAATATAACATACGCTGCTCTTACCCAGTTCCCCCTAGGATGTTGAACAGTTCTGACCATTTATCGCTACACATCACTCAATGCATTTGCACATCACAAGATATATTTCTGCCATTCCAATTAGTCTCCCACTGTGTCACAGGAGATAGAATGTTAATCACAAGAGTAACAGCAGTTAAACTGAAATAGTGTACATGAAAAGGAAATACAAAATGACAAATGGAAAGACTCTTTTCAAGTCCTGACGGAGCCACTTAGTAGTGGTATGACCTTGGGCAAGTCCCTTAACCTTCTTTACCCAACTGTTGTGAAAACGGATTTAAATAATCACTTGAGAGTACTTGATAAGCTGAAAGCACTATACAAATATAAGGGAATATGATGATTACAGCCGCATGTATAACGGTTTAGAAATTGTTGGCCCAGAGCTTGGGAAGAATAATAATTGAGGCCTACATCAACCTAGGACTCACATCCTAAGAGAGCCGAGTATCCACAGAAGCCAGGTGACAATCCCTTACTTGGAAGAAGTACTGCTTTTGTGGCCAATGAGAGACATCACAATGCTCAAGTGATTATTTACCTATGCATCAACTAGATAAGTTTGTTAGGCAAATACAAGCCTGCAAGTGACACATTATGGCAAAAGACACAATCAAGGCAGATGGGAAATACAACAAAACTTAAAATTAGATTTTATTTATACCCTACTGCAATGAACAATTATTTGTTAATTGGACTCGGATCTTCAATTACAGGTGCTCAGAAATGAAGTACTGGTAAAACCCTGGATCAGCCAAGAAACGTAGTAAATGTAGATTCAAATTCTTAAAAAAAAAACTGAAACATCTTTTCATTTACATAGACCATTAATTACAACAAAAAGTCTACTGAGAAGAACTATAAATATTCTCACGAATGCAGTGTTCTACTTTTAAGCCTGGCGAAGAAAAACTTAAAGAAGTACATTAAGAGTTCTCCGATGCTGGAATGATATCTTAGAAAGATCACAGAGGCTTAACAATTTGTAGGTTAATTCAAAAGTCAATTAAGGTTCTGAGCCATCACTAATTTCGAGAATCCCAAAACCACAGGCCTAGCATAGTTAAAAAGGCACTCCAAAAATTTTCAAATCAATGTCAGGTCAATTAAACGCTCAAAAAACTCAATACTCACAGATAATGATCAGGATCAAACTTGGCCAGCTCAGCATCCAGGCGTTTCTGCCTTCGTTCAGGTGCAGGAGTGAAATCTGGATCCTTAATATCAATAACATCACTCAATTCATCCTAAGAACACCCAGAAAAGAAAGAATAATTGCTATCTCCTATTTTGTCATTGAAAAATCTAATTTTGCATGAAAGGCCAAAACAAAGGAACAATCTGATCAGCAGGCCATAATACTACCTGTGACATGTAGATTCAAATCCAGCAAATGTTTGTTAAACACCTACTGCTTCCCTGTTAGTTTTCACATAAGTTATCTCATTTAATTCGTACAACAAAGTGATCAATATATATCAGACATAAACGTTCATCATAATTTTTTTAATGTATATTTAATCTTGAGAGAGAGACAGAGACAGAGCACGAGCGGAGGAGAGGCAGAGAGAGAGACACAGAATCCAAAGGAGGCTCCAGGCTCCGAACTGTCAGCACAGAGCCCGATGTGGGGCTCAAACGTACGAACCATGAGATCACAACCTGAGCCGAAGTAGGACACTTAACTGACTGAGCCACTCAGGCACCCCTGAACATTCATCATTAAAAAAACAAAAAACAAAAAACAAAAAGCAAAAAACAGAATAACTCCCTGCAAGCAACAGGAACATTCAATTCTCCATCTCTTCCCCATTTACTCCTAGAGATTTTAAAGTTATTAACAGCATGTTTAAATACATTTCTAAATTTTTCTTTTAATGTTTATTTATTTTTGAGACAGAGGGAGACAGAGCGTGAGTGAGAGAGGGGCAGAGAGAGAGGGAGACACAGAATCTAAAACAAGCTCCAGGCTCTGAGCTGTCAGCACAGAGCCCAAAGCGGGGCTCGAACCCATGAACCATGAGATCATGACCTGAGCTGAAGTCGCACCCTTAACTGACTGAGCCACCCAGGCGCCCCTAAATACATTTCTAGACTGGAAGATGGAGATGCTCCTGCCATGTTAGCAAACAGAACCTTAGGTAACTTTTGTGTGCCCATAAATCTCCGCTCGACCAGAAATCCACTAGACCCAGTCAGCCCATCTCCAGAAGCCAGGCCAACCCTGGGTGCTATGCTTACTTCCTGGTTCCCTCTTACCCCAAACAAGGTTGACTGTGTGGCCTTAGCCAATCAGACATTTCCTATCTTTCTTCCTTGTTATTCTTTATCCCATTAAAATTTTCTGCCTTTCGCCCATTTTTCCAAGTCTCCCAGTGAAGACTGTTCACTTCCTAAAGCGTTAAATAAAGTCTGTTTGTATCACTGAAAACTATCTTCTTTAATCACTTTTGAACATCTACATGCAGACTTTCCTTTTGTTTCTTCCTAAGGACTAACTCAGCTGGTCTCAAATAAGGATTTCCAAATAAAACTTACATATAAAACTGTGTGTGTTCTACTTTATGAGCATATTTAGGAATTTTTAAGGGCAATTTTGATGTATATGACTTTCTATCTGCAAACTTAAAAATCTAATCCTAAGTGATATTCAATTTTACCATAAAAGTCTTCACTGATGTATACACACACACAGATACAGAGCATGTTTCTTAGGTCAAATCCTACAGAAAATAGGTATAGTAGGAAAACTGTCTAGGAAACCATATAATCTTTTTTTATTATTATTAGAATTATGAAGCCAAAAAACCTCATACAATGCAAAATATCCCTATAGCGACATCTTTTTTTCAACCTCCTCATTCCAATTACTGACCACAAATGAGAAGTATAGAAACTGAAAGAACCTTAACTAAAAAGAAATCCAGGGAAATTACTCGAGAGAGTCATGGAGGGAAACTGAAAACAGATTGGCAAAAGGAAGGACAGGTTAGTGCCTAATAATCGAACTTAAAGTAGAGAGCCGTGAGGCAACCTCACCACAAAGAAATGAGCTACAATAAGCTGAAGGAGCCAAGGAGACACTAAGATAAACACTCCTCACACAATCCAAATTTTTGCATTGAAAAAAAAAATTCTCTCATTCCTATCACAATCCACTTAGCTCAAGTAATATCAACAACATTTAACCTAAGCACATTCTAATACAATGAAAGGGCCCAGAAAACTTTTTGGATGTCACGTCCAGAATACGTTAATACTTCTAACTACAAACATTCCAGGCAAAAACCAGATTCTTGGCTGTCCCCAAATAAAATTTTGCATTCCAAAAGTTCCCTTACAATTCACTTTTGGGAGATTAAGAATATATTTCCCTATAGAAATACTATTAAAACCAGTATTTATGTGCTCATGGTAACCCACAAGTTTATTCCACTTATAATAAACTTTAAATAGAGTACTCTCCATTCAAAGGGCGTACAACCCTGTGGCAATGTTTCCATGAAAAAATGCTTTCAGAGTTCCACTGCAACCCACCACAAACATCTCTTCCCCAAGCAAGACAATCTGGACTCTTCCTCTCTTCCTCACCTGCCTGAAATGAAGTCCTCCAGGCACATAGCCAGAAAAGGTGCTGACTGTAGGCCTTGGGAGGAGAGGTCGAGTTGTACTGGGCCCACTGGACTCATGTCAGCCAGATGGCTACCATGAGAGCCGTTTCCTGCCCATGGACCCCAAGTCCTTCTTCCCAGCACCCTTAAGTCACACATTTGCTTCCCTACTAGCCCCAAGGAGTTCCTTGCACATACATACATGTACTCATTCACTCACTCACTCACTCACTTCTGAAAGCAGCCCAATGAAGCAGAAAAAAATGTGAATCTGTAGTCAGACAAACTGAAATTAAAACCCAGCTCCAGGGGCGCCTGGGTGGCTCAGTCGGTTAAGCGTCCAATTTCAGCTGAGGTCATGTCTTGCAGTTCTTCAGTTTGAGCCCTGTGTCGGGGTCAGACCCCGGAGTCTGCTTCAGATTCTGCATCTCCCTCTTTCTCTGCCCCTCCTCCACTCACGCTCTGTCTCTCTCTCTCAAAACTAAAAATAAACATTAAAAAATTAAAAAAAAATAAACACCTCAGCTCCAGTCTAACTGTGCATCCTCCCTGAATCTTAGCCTCCCTTCTGTGAATGAGTCTAGTGACACCTCCACCGTGAGGCTGGGGACTAGTTTCCCCTTGCTGCTATAACAAATTACTACAAACTTAGCGCCATAACACAACACAAATATATTCTCTTATAGGTGTGGAGCTCCCAAGTCCAGAGTCAGTCTCATTGGGCTAAAATGAAGGGAAGGCAAAGCTGGTTCCTTCTCAAGGTTCTAAGGGAGAATTGGTTGCTTTGCCTCTTTCATCTTGGAGTGTAGGTTCCTCATTTCTTGGCAGGTGTATTAAAAAAATGTCCCATGGGGGCGCCTGGGTGGCGCAGTCGGTTGAGCGTCCGACTTCAGCCAGGTCACGATCTCACGGTCCGTGAGTTCGAGCCCCGCGTCGGGCTCTGGGCTGATGGCTCAGAGCCTGGAGCCTGTTTCCGATTCTGTGTCTCCCTCTCTCTCTGCTCCTCCCCCGTTCATGCTCCGTCTCTCTCTGTCCCAAAAATAAATAAACGTTGAAAAAAAAAATTTAAAAAAAAAAAAAAAAAAAATGTCCCATGACAATGCCCTTCCTCCCTCGGCTTCCATCATCATGTGGCCTTCTCTCTTTTCACTTTGACTCTCTTACCTCCTTCTTATAAAGGCCCTGTGATTAGATAGGACTCACCTGGATAATGCCGGATAATCTCCCCATCGTAAGATCCTTAACTTAATTGTACGTGCAAAGTCCCTTCTGCCACATAATGCAGTATGTTCACATGTTCCAGGGACTGGCACACACAGACATGCCAGGGAATGGGGAGGGAAGGAGCATCATTCTGTCTACCACAGGCTGTTATGAGGATTAAATGAAATAATACAAGTAAAGCATCAAGTACAAGGCTTAATACATTCAATAATTAGATTCCTTCCTCTGTGTCTCCCTATTCCATGCTGTTCCCTGCACTCACTGTCCAACTTCCTACTGGGAATACCTGTCCTCCTTCCCCTTCCACGTCCTCACTTGCCAGTAGCAACAAAAAGAGAAAAATAGGGATTAAAATGTGCTGCTTCATTACTTCACCTGAACCAGATATAAGGTCACAAATGGGGTAGAATCTGGGAATTTCTGTAGGTAACTACATTTCAGAGGATAAACAGACTAAGGGAACCACAGGCATTTCAAAATACTAATTGCACTGAGAATAAACCCAGACTTTCCCCACAGCTCTGCACAATCTAACCCCTGTCCTGTACTTCACGCCCACCTCCTACCTTCCTCTTCTGGCTCAAATCCCCCAAGCCACATACCAGGCTTCCTTCCCTTTCTAAAACCCTGAGACTTTGCATTTACGATACACTTCTCACCATTCAAGACTCAGTGCAAATGTCGCTCCTCAAAGAGACCTTCTCTGGGCATCCTCACCAAAGGAGTACCCCACAGTCTCCCACATTACCCCATCCATTCCTTCACTTGTCACTATCTGAAATTCTCTAGTTTATTTGTTGTTTACAGGATTACGGACTAGCTTCCCACTAGAAGATTCCATGAGGACAGGAGTCTGGTCAATATTTTTCCTCACTGTATCCCTGGCACTGTTCCTGGCCTTCAGTATTAAATCATTCATTCAGCAAATACTGTATGAGGGGCTGCCTGGGGTGCTAGAGATCCAGAAATAAATATACACACCAGGTCTCTGCTCTCATGAGAGTAAGAATTAGACAGTAAGAATGCAGCTGTCCTTCCTCTCTCCCTCCTCTCCCCTCTTGCTTCCAGACTCAGGGCCTCCACATGTAGCTATGCAGTCTGTACCCCAAAGAACACGAACATCCCCAGCAGTACAAGCCCCACCAGGCTCGTCCTACACACGGTCATACACGGTGGCCCTGTTCAAACCGGACTCTCAAGAGGAACCAAAAGGAACTACAAAGCCAAGTTAGCGTGGGGGAAGAGAAATCCATCTAGGGCATCAACCAACCAAAGGTAGAAAGATAAGAAGATGGGAAATGTTCGGCCATACCAGAACAGCGGTGATTCTGCTACGGCCACTGTCAGTTGAACCATTTAAAGTGGGTATTGCCAAGAAAAGGTCATGCAGGATGAAAATCAGGCTTATGTTAAATTTTGGCATCGCTATGGCAGAGACCCTCCAGGGAAAAAATGAACTGTGTGCACATCTGGCCAATAGGCCTCCTGGAGACAACAGCCTCGGGTCCCTGGTGCAGCTGCGGGAAGGAAAAGGGCCGGCCAGCCAGCGTCCTGTGGCTGCTGGCAGCAGCGGTGCCGGGAGCTTGCTGGGTTGGCGCCCAGAGACTCTGGGATGGTTGCTCCTGGCAGCCCCCACCGCCTGATGCCGGTTGTGAGGCCCTGACTTTGAGCAGCCGGGGCAGTTTTCCAAAGGCGCCCTGGCGGCTGGCAGCGGTTTTAGAAAGGAAAGAAAAAAGGGATGAGGAGGGGAGAGATACGTTAAAAAGAATGTTTCAGCAAATACCACTTCTTTTTTCTTCTCATTATCAGTATGAAATATGGAAGTTTCTAAGCATATGCCGTGTACATGGTCGGAGGGGAAAAAAACATCGACTATAAATCCCCCCCCCCCATGAAGGATTAAATTATTCGATTAAGAGCAGATACCTGGGTCTTGGAATTACGAATGATGTTTCCTTTCTTTGTTATATTTTTATAATGAATATATATCGCTTTTATCATCAAAGAAAATAAACCTATTTTTCACTTAAGGGGGGAAAAAAGAGACTGTGGAAAAACTAGTAAAATACGAGCCATCAACAAAACTTCATGGATATTTTCTCATCCAAAGGCAGAATGAGAGAAAGTCTAAACTTGTGAGAAAACATTCTTTGAGAAAATGCTGACGTTTCTTAAGTCCATCACTTGAAAACAGAAGAGATGTTCTCAAAGGTATTTAGGCAGTAATCATTCCAGCTTCTTCTCATTGCTTCACTAGCAGAAAGACACCCACACCACTAACCTTAGTCAAATGATCGCTCAGTTTTTAAGCACAGGGTAGTGGTGTCATACACAGAGCAGTCATGAATGCAGAACAACTCTGCGAGGAACACCAATTATGTGAGATTTGGGAGCCACTATCGCACAAAACACACCTACGTTAATACCCCAGAGAGGGTGTCCTTTGGTTCACAGAGGATTTTTGAAAGTTTTCATTCCTTAATGGTCATGAAGAATACCACAAACTTCTAGTTTTATTCATTAGAACATATAATCTTGAGGGGAGGGTGGAGGAGAGGAGAAAATGGGTGATGGGCGTTGAGGAGGGCACTTGTTGGGATGAGCAATGGGTGTCGTATGTAAGCGATGAGTCACGGGAATCTACCCCCAAAACCAAGAGCACACTTTACGCAGTGTATGTTAGCCAATTTGACAATAATTTATATTAAAAAAAAATCATTCAATAAAAAAATATATGTATATCATTTTGAAAAACCAGTACCTACATCTACTGGTTTGTCCACTGGTAAAAGGTGCACAAGTAACAGCAACGATGCCAGGATGGAACAGATACACACGAGAGCCCCGCACAGTGCCTGGCACAGGGACATAGTCAGTAGCTGTTGGCTGTTGATGCACAGACAGTGGTAGTCCAGTACCTGTTACTCAAGTCCCCCTAGAGAGGAGTGAACTTCAGCATTCAGACCTTTTAAAGAATTTAGAGAAGTTAACTGGTACACACCCATTACATATTTTATTTAACCCCCGCTAAATCTGGGGCAGCACCCTGTATTCAAATGCATTACTATTTCTCTGGCAAAATCTGTCAATATGCACACTAAGCGGGATTTAAAAACTAACTAATAAAAGACTCATATCGGTGGGGCTCCTGGGTGGCTCAGTGGGTTAAGGGGCCGACTTGACTTTGGCTCAGCTCATGATCTCATGACTCGTGGGTTCAAGCCCCGGCATCAGACTCTGCGCTTACGGTGCAGACTCTGCTTCCAATCCTCTGTCTCCCTCTTTCTGCCCCTCCTGTTCCCCCTCTCCACTCAAAACTAAATGTTAAAAAAAATAATAATAAAGACATCGATTCAGATCAGGTTTTGTCACAAAACTAAACACACAAAAATGTTTACTTTGAGAACTTTCTGTTACCCCGTTACTACAGACATGGGTTATAAGCCTGCACCACTAGTTACCAGTTACATCACCCTCAGGGCTTGTTCACATCCATGGCTCTCTTTTTTTCCTCTGTCGAAGAAAATATGCATTCAAACAGCTTAGAACAGCAATGCTCATTCAGTTAAAATTTGAACATTTTAATGATTTTAGATCATCAAGCTAAAGGCTCGAGAATCATGAACATCAAATTCAGTGTTTCATTTCTGAGGGGAAACAGAATGATGTAATCACGGGCTCTAACTATGCTGACATTTATTTTTAAAGCTGGGTGATAGGTGCCCAGAGATTTGGTGCCTTAGTTAAGACATTCAGAAAGACACAGAGAATATTTCATAACATTTTTTAAAATAAATCTAAATTACTTATTGAACATTTCCAACAGATACAAGAACTTGGGACCTAAAGGACTTGGCCTAGGCTTACGTTATGGCATTCCAGCATCTTCTCAGCAACCTGGCAGAAATCCCTTGAAAGGCTCTCCCCTCAACGGCAGCAGCAAGAAACCAAGTTCCCTCGCCTCAGAAATGATGATCCATCTGAATGTGCAATCTGTACTTGGCCTGCTTGACTTGTATTAGCATTCATTTAGAGCTTCACACAGGTAAACCCCAAGTGACGGACCACAAAGTAGCTCTCAGCTAAACAGGTGAGGTCCATTCACTGTAGTTAGCGCTGTAGACAAAATGGACTCTAACTACCTCAGAGATGACCAGAAAATGTGATTGGGGAGAGAGACTATGGAGAGACCGTAATTCAGGGAAAAAAGCATATAAGGGTTTTGAAGGGAGTATCTAATCAGCATTATTTGCTCAAGTAAATCCCAATTTTGTTCTCTTCAAAGAGTCTGGAGAGCATTTTATATTTTTCATAGGCAGAAGTCTTTCTAGCATCCTATTCTTTTTCAAAGAGTTTTAATAATGCAGCATCTCCTAAGTTTTCTAAATGCTATTACAATGTAGATGAGTAAATTTATCCCTATTTGATAAAGAGGAGACTTGTTTATGATCAAATAACTGGCCTATCACCCCAAATCTAAGCAGCAGAAGTGGGACTAAAACATAGGTAAACCCTTCTTTAGTAAATTCAAATATGTCTTACTATAATAAACTACAGCCTAAAGAGATTTCATGTCCTCTGCCCAGATAGGGATTGAAAAAAAAAAAAAAAAGTTGTCTGTTACGATTTCTTTCATTTAAAATTCAAACAAAACAAAATGAAACAAAACTCCAAGCTAATGGTTCAGAAATACTTTCCATCATATAACATTCTAGGGAGGCATTTTCTATAAAACAACACAGGTACAAAATAGTTCAAAATCTCTCCTCTCCATTTCATTCTCCCCCCCATAAACTAAAATAAAGCAGAATTTCCTATGTTTTTTGAGGAAGAGAGACTGATGTCATTCCTTTTTAGCCTAAGTGACAAACGATTGGGTTCTAACAAGAGATTACATTCAACCCCCACCAAGAGTAAACAGACACAAGTGCCCACTGTACACCAAGAACTAAACAATTCGATCAAAAGACACAAATTCATTCTCACCGGGAACATTCTCTCTCATTTATATTTATAAAACATCACATAATCATTTTCATCTTTCAGAAGTGTAACACAAAGATTTGCAGTTAAGTATGAGGAAAGAGGAGTTCCGTTTTGTGTTTTGGAAACTTCATGTCTAGAATACTGAATGAAGTGGAGAAAAAAGAAAGTAACAGGACATCTGACATCTGTAAGCACAGTGTGACTGTGCAGAACCACCAATGCAATGGAAAGGAACAAACGTGTGTAATCACTACAGAGAAGCAGCTGTGACTTGTGCTCTGAATACATCACCTCCTATCATCTTCATTAAAGATCTCCAAGTAGGAGCAGAACTGAAATTAAAATATCAAAATGGTAAAACCCTATACAACAAGGTCTTTTAGAAAGAAACCGTACCTGTAACCGCTGAAACACTCCGGATCGTAAATTTCCAAATCCATAGTGGTACTGTGGATTCAGAGCACTTTCTGATACCTCTTCATAGGGGACCTGTTCAATTTCCCAGTCAAACTCTTCATCCTCAGCTTCTACTCCTCCCTCAGAAACTTCAGAAGCACCTGAATGTGTTAAATATTAATTTATTCAAGTACTGGGTTTCCTAGGTACAACTTGGAGGGGAAAAGGTATAAAAAATGCCTGCCCACATGCACTGAAAGGTATGTAAAAGAATATACATAACCTCATTATTTGTAAAATTTTAACGTCTAACTTTGAGAGACAGAGGGAGAGGGCACGGGAACAAGCGGGGGAGGAGCAGAGAGGGAGGAGACACAGAATCTGAAGCAAGCTCCATGCTCCCAGTTGTCAGCACAGAGCCCAACGTGGGGCTCCAACCCACGAATCGTGAGATCATGACCTGAGCCATCATCAGATGTTTAACCAAATGAGCCACTTAGGTGCCCCAACCCCACTATTTTTCATAGCTTCCCCCCCAAAAAAGGAAACAATCCGAAGGCCCTCAAGAGTCAGATGTATAAATAGTAAATGCAATGAAAGCAAACAAACCTCAGCTATAGATGGAAAAACCTCACAAGAATATTAAGTGAAAGAAGCCATACAAAAAAGAACACATACTGCCTGAGTTATATACACAATTCAAAAACAGGCAAAACTGAAGGTAGCAGTAACACTGCAGAGGAGGGAGGAAGAAGGGACCAGGAGGAGGCACAGGGTAGGATTCCAGGGTATTGGAAACATTCCATTTCTTGACCTAGGCGGTATTCATTTTATGTAACTCATTGAATTTATAAACTTTTGATCAAAGCTCAAGAGGCCATTACTTTGCAAAAGACAGAGATGCTGTTTTAACTGGTCCAAAAATGTGACTGACACACTGAGTCAGTAATGTGTTTTTTGTCTTTAAATTATATGTCACTGGGGCACCTGGGTGACTCAGTTGGTAAAGCGTCCAACTTCCGCTAAGGTCATGATAGATCTTGCAGTTCACAAGTCTGAACTTTGTGTTGGGCTCTGGCTGACAACTTGAGGCCTGGAGCTTGCTTCGAATTCTGTGTCTCCCTCATGTTCTCTCTCTCTCTCAAAGATAAATAAATGTTTAATAAATAAATAATAAATGAAATAATATGTCACCAAATGAGCTAGTTTTATTTTCATGTGATGTCCTTATCTTGTCACCTGAGGCATTTTCTTCCATTTCTTATTTGCTATATCCCTCTTCCCCCAGAAACACAAAGCACTCCAAATTTTCTGTTTATCTTTATTTCTTAACTACAATAAACATACCTATTTCTTCCACAAGTGGTTTGGCAGTCCTGGATTTTCTTGGTGCCAGAAGAGAGGTTAACATGTTCAGTCCCTCAAAATGCTGGCCAGGAGTTTCCTTCGGCAATCGAATGGTAAAAATTCCTTAAAGATAAATTTGTTTTATACTTAGCTCTATTAAAAAAATCAAAGACTTCACACAAATACATCCAAGAAATATGTATTCCTATTTCATAGGGCTCCAAAATTATGCCCTTGTTATATAGTGAATAAAAATCAGGATAGAAAAAGGCTTGGGCCCCTGGGTGGCTCAGTAGGTTAAGTGTCTGACTTCAGCTCAGGTCATGATCTTGCGGTTCGTGAGTTCAAGCCCCACATTGGGCTCTGTGCTGACAGTTCAGAACCTGGAGCCTACTTCAGGTTCTGTGTCTCCCTCTCTCTCTGCCCCTCCTCTGCTCCCGCTCTGTTTCTCACTCAAAAATAAAATAAATATTAAAAAAAAAAAAAAAAAAACCTTGGGAAAAAAAGAAAAAGGCTCAAATAGGGTTTTTCAGAATCACTGATTCAGCTGTCACCTGTATAAGAAATTAATCTGCTAAAGCTGCAGAATGCTTTAGTCTTACACAGTATCCCCTTAACCTACTGGTAATATTAAAAGTCCAAGCCAAAACCTCTAAAACTCAATGACCTGAGAAGGCAGTAGCTTAGAATTAGCCCATAGCTACTTATAAGACTTATTTCTGAACTAGGAAAGAAAAATCAAGATATCTAATCCAATGAATAGCAGCAATTTCAAAAATTCACAAAATCTTAAAGCAATTATAGCTTAAAAAGCTATCTGAGATCTCAAGAGACATATCCCCAAAGTCTAAGACAGACTCAAATTCTACCTATGCACTTCTTTCCTTTCCCTGACTAGGTTTATCACTTCATCGAGGCTACCCCATAGACTTCTTACATTATTTACTACTGTGAATTTAAAATATTTTTTACCTTTTTCATTGCACTTAAACATATTTCAATACAGTTGACCCTTGGACAAAATGGAGCTTAGGGATGTGAACCCCCACCCAGTCAAAAATCTGTTTAACTTTTGACTCCCCCAAAAGCTAACTATGAATAGTCTACTGTTGATTAGAAGCCATATCAATAACATAAACTGTTGATTAACACATATTCTGTATATTGTATGCATTAAATGCTGTGCCCTTACACTAAAGAGAAAAGAAAATGTTGTTAAAAAAAATCGTACGGAAAATACATTTACAACACAATACCATATCAAAAAAAAATCCGCATATAAGTGGATCTGCACAGTTCAAACCCACGCTGTATGAAAGTCAAGTATATATCAAAAACAACTCAATCCAAACCCACAGGTGCAGCTTCCTAAATCCCTGGGTACTTTTGAAATTTAATAAATTTGTTTCAGTATGCAACTTCCCTGCAATTAAAAGCACACTTACTACCTAGAAAGGCAGTTTCATATTTCATTATCACATTAATTACATTGTATTATGGGTTATAACTTTGTCATTTAACTTTCATGCCATCCTTCCTCTCTTACCCTAGTTTACTGAGGTCAAGAAATATTCACTTAATAAATTACACAAGACTATACAAGGTATTCTTATTCCAGATTCACTGATAAAGAAAAATCCAGAGGCATCTACAAAAGGAAAATAAGTGGTTTCGACAATAGCTAAACTGAAGGGCTTATCAATCATGAGAAGAAAATGCAGTCGGCCTTTAATTGCCACCTTTGAACAGTTTCTCACTTACCTGTTATTAAGTTTTAACTTTAAAAAGTATACAAGAAAAATTTGATTTGCAGCTTCCAAAATCATCCACATCTTTTCTCATATAATCTAACTTTTTAAAAAAGTTTATTTATTATTGGGCAGGGGAGGGGCAGAGAGAGAGGGAGAAAAAGAGAATGCCAAGCATGCTCTGCTCTGTTAGCACAGAGTCCAGCATGAGGCTCAAACTCTCCAACCGTGAGATCATGATCTGAGCTGAAATCAAGAGTCAGTCGCTTAACCAACTAAGCCCCCCAGGCACCCCCCACATAATCTAACTTTCAAACTCTTATTCAAAGTAGAAGAAGTAGAAAATAAAACACCTAGGAAACAGAAACAGGGTATTTAAGTAACTTTAAAGAGTACTGTGAAGTACTTTACAGGACTGAGGAAATTGTAATTGTCAAGAAATCCATGAACAATAGGCACGGGGCGTTAAGAAACAATGAAGTGTGCATTTGCAATACATCTAAAGGTCCCCATAGTATCTTGAAAGATTATGATGTACTTATTCTAACATGAAGAATCCAAAGAAAAAAAGTAACAAAATTCCAAAGGCAATACCTTTATCCGCATCATAGGATCCCTGTTCACTTCCGTTTTCTACAACTCTTCCAGGAAGGGTTAATCTGCAGATTTAATAGGTTACATCAAGTCCTTAAATTACAGAGTATAAGTGACCATCAATGATAGTACGTTTACCACTGGAACCTATAACCATTTTAAAAGGCAATTCTTCAGCATTTCTTTAACATCTTGCAAACTAAATAACTTACATTTCTTCCCTAGCTAAGATAAAAGAAATCACAGCTGCCTCATCTTTCTGTCTGAATACTCCCTAGTCACCAATAAAAGCGATGCTTAAAAAGAAAAACCACAATAAATACTAGTCATCACTATTTCTACAGTACTTTCATCTTCCTAATGAGTAAGGGAGTTATTAATATACCTGGTCCCTGATACAGCAGGGGCTCCAAAAAGGTATACTAAATGGCTCCCCTCCCTCCCAAAAGCATTTTTAAAATGGAAAACAATAAAGAAACAACAAAACCAATTGTTTATTTGGGGCAAATTAATACTTTAAAAAAAAAAGCAAAAAACAAAAGTTTTTCTCAACTCTCATTATTACTATACAGGGATTTTCCCCCTTTCACTGTAAAGGAAATGAACTGATTTCCCTGTTTCCAGTTTTACTCTGGTTCAGTCGCATCTTCCACAGAGGTCCCAAAAGAATTTTTCTAAAATAGAAATCAGGGGCGCCTGGGTGGCTCAGTGGGTTTAAGTGCCCAACTTCGGCTCAGGTCATGATCTCAGTGTTTGCGGGTTCAAGCTCCGCATCAGATTCTGTGTTGACAGCTCAAAGCCCGGAGCCTGCTATGGATTCTGTGTCTCCCTCTCTCTGCCACTCCCCAACTTGGGCGCTCTCTCTCTCTCTCTCTCTCTCTCTCTCTCAAAAATAAATAAACACTGAAACAGACTTTAAAAAATTAAATAGAAATCAGAGTGTCACTTTTCTAGTGAAAAAGTTTTCATGGCTGCCTGACATCAACTCAATAATTTACACTCATGAGTACCACATATGAGACCAGCTCCATTCCATTCCAAACTTAAAATGTGAGGCTCCTTTCCTCCCACATCTCCTATTCATATGCTTCCTATTCTAACATTATAATAACAACAACAACAACAATAACAAAACTTGGCAGGTCCCAAAGGCCCGGGGCTTCACAACCTAGTTAACTTTGATCTTAAGGCTTCCTGGAGCTACAATGCAGTTTCCAAACCAAAATCCTTTCTAAGTCCAACATAAGAAGTCCGTTTATGGATAAACTAGCTTGTTTTAATGGTTACAAACACTAACTTCACTTTCAGAATCTGAACTGAGTTCCAGCTCTGCCATTCGCCATCTCTCCAACTTTTTTTGTATAAGTTAATCAACTTCGAAGCTCATACACTTCATCTGTAAAAAGTGAGAAATAACAGATCTCCCCCAGAGTTACTGCAAGAAGAGGTTATTACTGTGAAGTAGGTAAGCATTCCAAAAATGTAAGCTATTAATACCAATGTTCTTCTCCTAAATTCTTTGTAAGTATAGAGTTAAATTCTTACTGCATAAGAGTGAAATCCTGTTTGTTCACAGATCTGCCACCCCTGATAGACTCTCAGTTTCCCAAGCAGAGGAGCGAGGAGGTTTTATTCACCTCTGCTGTACTGTAGCCAACTGTATTTTCAAAGATGGCCCATCTCACATCACTCCTCCCAACTGTGGGGTCTATGTCCCCTCCCCCTAAAACTGAGTGAGCTTGCAAATGTCCATGGGTAAATGAATGAATAAGTTGCAGTGTGTGTGTACGTGTATACACATATACACATGTATATACATATATATATAAAACACACACACATATATGTATATATATTTGCTCAGCCATAGAAGAATGGAATATTACACAGCCATAGAAAAGAATGAAATCTTGCCATGTCCAACAACATGGATGCATCTAGAGTATAATGCTAAGCAAAGTCAGAGAAAGACAAATCCCATATTCCACTCATATGTGTAATTTAACAAACAAAACAAAGGGAAAACAAAAAAGAGACAAACCAAAAAACAGACTCTTAACCAAAGAGAACAAACTGATGGTTACGGGGGGGGGGGGGGGGGGGGGGGGGGGGGGGGGGGGGGGGGGACTGAATTAAATAGGTGAAAGGGATTAACATCACATTTATCATGATGAGCACTAAGTAACATGCAAAATTGCTCAATCACTATATTGTATACCTGAAACTAATATAACAATGTATATTAAATATACTGGAATTAAAATAAAAATTAATTAACTAGGTTTTTGTTGTTGTTGTTTAAACTGAGTGGCCTTGGGGCCAATAAAATGGAACAGAAATGACAGTGTGATTTCTGAGGTTAGGTCATAAATGATATGAACCTGCCTTGTCCCCTGGAATACTTGACTTTTGAAACTTTCAGCTCCACCCCCCCGCCCTCCACAAAGGAATCAAACTAGACCATGCAAACACACCACACAGGGAGTCCTGAGAGTACACAAAGAGAGAGGCTGTGCCCCAGCCACTCCACCAGTCCCCACCTGCTTTGGCCCTCACTGTTCCAGGTCCAGCCAATATATGACTACAACTGAATTAAAGATCTCAAGTCAGAACAGCTCGGCCAGGCTCTTACCAAATTCCTGAGGTACAACCAGGGCAAGAGAGTTAGATAACTGTTGTTTTAAAACACTATTTGATTGGTTTGGCAACAACAGATAACTAGAACAATAGGCCCTTATAATAAATATCTACTGTTTACTGAACATATGGGCACGGCAATAAAAACTATGCATCCATTATATCAATCCTCACATCAGCTCTGGACGATCACTAATATTAGTCCCATTGTAAAGATTAGGAAACTGAGACAGCATAATTTGCTGTAAGTGCCAGAACTGTTAAGCATGCTGAGACCCAGGTGTGCCCAACTCCCCAGTCCCTGCTACTCAAGGAATGGATGAGCTGGTGTAAAGAATACTCTTTAAAGTATTTCACAAATAACCTCTTATTTGGGCTTCATCAAGACTCCCAAACTTAGGCAAAATGGTTTTTACCTTGAAACTCCTGTTATTGTATTTAATTTTACATTCCTATCACATTTAACATCTTTTCTCTGAGCCTCTGATACCTCATCTGTGACATGAGTTAACAACAGAAACTATGTTGTAGGACTGTCCTAAAATCAAATGAGATAATCCACATACAGTATTAACCTGAAGTGAAAATTCACTAAATGCTTGCTACCACCATCACCATCTACTTTCCATTCTTCATGTCCTGCCTTAAATATCACTTCTTCAAAGTCTTTCCCGGGGCCACTTTACATTTCAACAGGATCCCCTTTATTTTCTTTCCGTGCACTTCCCTTCAGAGTACTTATCACAATTTGGAGTCATACCTTTACTTGTTCGTTTATTGCTATTCTCTCCCCATTAGAATGTAAACTATATGAGACACCACTACACCTCCAATACCTAAAACCCAGCCTGGTATAAATAAATCAAAGGAACAAATGAATAAAGAAATAGGAAAGTGCAGTATATGCAAGTTAAGTCAGGGCTTAATGGGAATCTGAGCAAAACGGTTTCCCACCCAGTGAAGGAACCAGCTTGACTCAAGAGCAAGGTTTATTAGGAAAGTACTTGGGCAGAAAAGGTAGGCTACAGCTACACTTGAATTAGAAAGATTAGGAGAATGGATTTTATGTAGCAGGAAAGGGAAAGGGGTTGACAATGTTTTAGGAAGAAAAATCCGCAGTGTCTTCTGTAAAAAGAAGCTAATATCAATCAATGCCTATTTCCAAGGAGCTCTCGCTGCCCAGGTCAAATGGGATAACACACACAAATACACATAATACGCCTGTATGCGTTAAAGTGAGCCCACGGAGCTGTTGCTACTTTTGTTATGGTTCTGTAAGGAAAAAATGCAAACAGGTTGTGATGAAGGGCCCTCACTGCGAACGCACGACAACCGCAACTAAAGGGCAAAATCAGACAAGTTAGGAGGAGGTAGAAGAACGAGGTTAATTTGGTGTCAAGGGGGCAAAGAAAGGAGAGAATATCAGGAAGTAGGGAGCGGCCCGCCAAGCGTCGACACAACTCTTAAGCAGAAGGTCGACTGATAAAAGTCAAAAGGACTGGTCAGTTGGGAAGTCAGCGCGCACCGTCCTGGAGCAGGGGATAGGGTAGGAGGACCAACGCAGGGCGATAACAACAGTAAAAAGGTACGAGAACTAGGGCGATAGGACAGAAACTGCAGACGTTACAAGATCCCAAACGCCAGGTCTTATAATGGCTCGAAATCTTTTTTACGGTGGGGATTTAACAAAGTTTAAGAACGGAATGAGCTTGTACAACACGTGGAATGCACTTCTGACGAGGTCATTTCCTCAGCACTGAAAGAAGCCGCGGAAATCTCGGGAAAAGGCAATCATTAAATCCCTCGCTCTTTCTTCTTTCCTCGGTAAACAGTTATCTCAAGAGTAACTGAGAGATGAAAGATCAATCAACGAATCAATCCCCTATATACATTATTTCCAGGGCCGGACACATAGAACTCGCCTGAGAAAGTACGGCTTGGCGTAGAACTTAAAGTCGACCCCCTCGAAGTAGACGTCAAACTCGGAGACCCGGGCGTAGGGCACGCGGATGGCGACGGTAAGGAAGTCGGGGTCCTGGCTGAGGTCGAACGCGGGGGTCAGCATGGCCGCGCCGGACTCAGGTGTCCCAGCCACTTACACTCACGGTCGCCGCAGTCCCGCCACTCAGACTACCCAGTAAGTACCCACGCGGGAGACTGGGTCTCGTAGCCAAGGCGCTTCCGGCTCAAGACGGAAGTGTTTGCGCGTGAGGCAGGAAGTCCCGCCCCACGCCGATCTCCATGGAGACTGGACGCTGTTAGTGGAGAAAGGGCGCGGAGCGTGGGGATTTGACCGCAGAAATGGAACTAAGGTGAAAACTTGGAAAAACCGGGACTACAATCCTCCTTAGACCCACCAACCCTGTTTCGAAATCCTAAGAGATTAATTTTAACCTCACTGGACTTGGAGGTAGACAGACCCGCGTTCGAATCCCTTCTCGGCCACCTCTCAGCTTAAGACCTTAGGGAAGTTACAAAACGTCCCCATGCTTCGGATAACTTTTCGATAAAATGGCACTAACACTAACCCCGCAGAGATGTGAAGATAACATGATATTATGTAAGTAAACCTCTAACAAGGTACCTGGCAAGTTGTCAACGCTCCTTGTATGGAAGCAGTCACCGCAGAAACCACAGCAGCGTCGTTACTGTGGTTTCCTTAGTTCTCACCTGCCTTGTCCGCAATTCCCCCTTTCTCCAGCCCCTCTCCGTGTTTCACTGCCCATTTCTCTTCCCCTCCCTTTCCCTCTCCCTCTCTTTATCTGTTACTTTCTTTTCCCTTCCGATTTCCTTGAGTAGTTTTCTCGTATACAGATCGTCCATCTCCCTAACCTCGTTTAATCTCTACTATGAGTTTCAAAGAACACGAGTCAAGAGAGGTTAAGCCCTGTATCTTATAATCATGCATCTTAAAATTACCAGAACCCAGAACGTTGACTCTTAAACCCTGTTAGTGCCTGAATTGACAAATTGCTGTACCTCCATATCCCTTCTTTCCTTTTCTCACTTTTCTCTGTACACTTTAGTCTATGCTCCTCATACTCTCCCAGTACCCGTCCCACTGATGTCCATCTTTCCCTACTTAGTCCCTTGGCCTTGCTTCTTCTTGTTGTATTTGCTGTTATTCCACCAGAAACTAGATTAGTCCAGGAAATAGTATTTACCTCCTGGTTTTAAATGTCAATGGAAAAGGGGTAAGAGTCATCTCTGTGGTAGTGGACCAGATAACTTCAAAAGCCTTTTCAACCTCCAATTTTTATGAATCTTAAAAATTAATTAGGACCCCGGAAAACAATAGTAGGAGCAAATAAAATAAAAATTTCAAAATAAAAACCACTCTGTTTAACTCTGGGAGTTTTTTGGTTTTTTTTTTTTAATGTTTATCCATATTTTGAGAGACAGAGCGTGAGCGGGGGAGGGGCAGAGAGCGAGGGAGACAGAATCCGAAGAAGGGTCCAGGTTCCAAACTGACCAAACAGAGCCAAACAGGCCGACACGGGGCTGGAACTCACAGACCGTGAGATCATGACCTGAGCTAAAGTCAGACGCTCAACCGACTGAGCCACCCAGGCACCCCATAACTCTGGGAATTTTTTTAAAAAATAGTTTACTTACTTCTGAGAGAGAGAAAGGGGAGCGGAGGGGCAGAGAGAAGGGGACAGAGGATCCAAAGCAGGCTCTGGCCTAACAGCAGTGAGTTGGATGCAGGGCTCAAACTCACCAACCATGAGATGGTGACCTGAGCCGAAGTCGGATGCTCAACCGACTGAGCCACCTAGTCGCCCTAACTCTGGGAGTTTTAATAAACACAAAATAAGAGGTTGTGTGTGAAACACTTGAAAGAGTACCTTTTATCTTTTTTAAGTTTATTTTATTTATTTTGAGAGACAGAGAGTGCAAGCGGGGTAGGGACAGAGAGAGAGGGAGAGAGAATCCCAAGCAGGCTCCGTGCTGTCAGCACAGATCCGGGCTGGGGGCT